CCAATCTACAGACCGAAACTCATCCTCATCAACCCCAATGGACTTACCAACAATTATATGAAGAAACTTTAAGAAGGAAATCAGTCTTAGAGCAAATGGGGTACAATGTCACCTCTATCTGGGAGCACGAATTCGATCAACAAGTGCAAAGAGATGAAGTTTTACAGAATTTTTTATCAGACCTCAACATTTCAGATCCTTTAAACCCCCGAGAGGCTTTGTATGGAGGTCGGACCAATGCTACACGATTATATTGTGAGGAAGGAAAAATGAGATACATAGACGTTTGTTCTCTGTACCCTTACGTGTTAAAACACAGACCTTTTCCTGTAGGGCATCCTCAAATCATTACCGATCAATTCCAAGACGTCAGATCCTATTTTGGACTCATTCATTGTCGGGTCTTACCACCTCGAGGGCTCTATCACCCCGTTTTACCTTATCGCACAGGAGGTAAGTTATTATTTCCCTTATGCCGAACTTGTGCAAAACAACAAGACCCTAAACATCGATGTCGACACAATTCCCATGAACGCAGTCTCACAGGTACCTGGGTGACCACCGAATTACACAAAGCCTTGGACATGGGGTATACTTTAGAGAAGATATACGAAGTTTGGCATTTTCCAGAAAGCAGCACAGATTTATTCAGACCTTACATCGATACTTTTTTAAAGATCAAACAAGAAGCGTCTGGATTTCCACCTAAGTGTCAGACGGAAGAACAGCAATTAAATTACATTCGTCAAGTGTTAGAAAAAGAAGGGATTAGAATGGATTGGTTAAGTATCGAAAAAAATCCAGTGCAAAGAACCATAGCTAAACTTTTTTTAAATTGTTTGTGGGGAAAATTTGCTCAACGTCTGTTATTACCAAAAACGAAATACTTAACGGAAGAGGAGGAATTACATCAACTCTTACAAGATTCGACCAAAGAGATTAAAGGGATCCAACTCTTAGAAAATAAAGAAAATCCGGATTTAGATATGATGTTAGTCAATTATCAAGACAAAAATCAATTTGTAGAAGAATGTCCCTTTGGAAACATAATACTGGCCTGTTTCACTACCGCTCATGCCCGATTACACCTCTACGAGACTTTACAACCTTTAGGAGATCGGGTGCTTTATTTCGATACGGATAGTATCATTTACCAACATAAGGAAGGACAATTTAATCCGATTCTTGGAAACAGTTTAGGAGAATGGACTGATGAATTGGACGGGGATCACATTATCAAATTCATGTCAGGAGGCCCCAAAAATTATGCTTACCTTACCTCCAAGGGAAATTCCAGCCTTAAAGTCAAAGGATTAACTCTCAATTATCGGGCTTCTAATATCGTATCCTTAGAGACTCTAGAAAAAATGCTCAAGAAAGAAATAGATGAAGTCACAGTGTCTTATCCTTACAAAATACAGAGGACCCGAGATCATCAAGTCAAGACAGTACCTTTAGAAAAACAATATAGAATTGTTTACGATAAGAGACAGATCTTGAAAGATTATAACACTTTACCTTATGGTTATTAAAAAATGATGGTTATTGACTATAAATAAAGCATTGGAACTACCTTTGTCTTCATTTGTCATCATGCAACATGAGGAGACACCTCTCCCCTCTTTTCTTTTAAAACATGAATTTACCATGGTGGTAGCAGGACCTTCTAAATCTGGCAAAACGGAATTTGTCAAGAAATTAGTAGAAAATTTACATTGGATTACCCCCTGCCACAAAAAATTGTGTGGTGTTATCGGGAATGGCAACCTGCTTACACTTCTCTAAGAGATCGGGTGTTTTTCATTCGAAATATTCCCGAAGACGATGAGAAATTAGTGGCTAATTTAAATATACCACACTTACTCATTTTTGACGACATGATGGGAGGAAAAGCCATTGAATCCATCGTGGATTGGTTTACCCGTAAAGCTCATCATCGGAATACCAGTGTGATTTACATCACTCAGAATTTATTTGATAGGGCAGCATCACATCGCACCATTAGTTTGAATGCTCATTATTTAGTCTTGTTTAAAAATCCCCGAGACAAATCTCAAATCAGTGTCTTAAGTCGTCAGTTAGCCTTACCTCATTTGATGTCCGCTTATCAAGAAGCTACCAATGTTCCTCATGGGTATCTCTTGGTGGATTTGAGTCCACACACCCCAGACGAATACAGATTGAGAAGTCGATTGTTTGAATGGTTAACTATACACATGCCTCAAGAGTATAAATAAAAATGTATCATCCTCACCCTTGTCATTTATCATTCAACTCTCATCATGGCACCATCAGCCAAGAGTAAATTAGTGAAAACTTTAAGACGTTTACAGCGGGAAAAAGATCCTGCTAAGCGAGCTCATTTAATTGAATTAGGGCGTAAAGCCTTATTGAATTGGTTTGCTATGGGAGCTCGAAATTTAATGAAAGGAGTCTTACCCATTAATAAACAGACTCAGAGATTTATTGATCATCATCGTCAAGATTTAGGTATCATCGCTGATAAATCAGCTACCGAGGAAGACAGAAAAAAAGCTATTTTAAAACGTGGCGGAGCAGGATTTTTAGAAGGAGTCATCATTCGTCATTTATTTAAATGGAATACCCCTAAAAAACGACGTGCTCGTCGTTTGAAAAGTGTGGTGGTAAGAGTCCAGAACAAAAAGACAAAAAAGAGAGTTTTACCCAATTGGATGGTTCGACTAGGTGGGGGCTCAAACAATAAGAAAAAACCTTCTCAAAAGAAGAAGAAGAAAAGAAAAAATCCAAAAACTCCAGGTCCACCTAAAACTCCAGCTCAACGTAAAGCTATGCCTAAAAGTCTAAGAAATGAAATTAATCAGTATTATAGAGAACAAAGACAAAAAACTATTGGAGAGTTATTAAAGAAACAAGCTGAAATGAGAATGGATCGTGCTATGGCACCCATAGGCAGTCAAAGAGCCCCGGATTTATTTCCTCAAGTTAATGTAGGAATTCCTTCTCCTGGAATTAAAGTACCCATACAGACTCCTAAAATAGCCCGCTTTCAACCTTTATCTGCTTCTACACCTAAACTTCCAAAAGGAATGAGATATAAATGTCGATATTGTTCCAAAATTTATGTCACCGAAAAAAATAGAGATAAACATGAGAAAGACAAACATGGCATGTATGCTCCTCCTCCTTAAAAGAGTATAAAAGGAGGACACACTGAGGGACACCTCTTCATTATTTGAAAAGGATGGCTAAGAAGAAGAAGAAGAAGAAGACTTGTTGTTCTACAAGATTAAAATCTCATGGGGCTCTTTTAAGAGTGTTATCTAACCCTCATTATTCTTCACCCTTAAAGACAAGTATTTTAAAACATTGTTCTGGAGATTGTATTCTGAAGATTTGTGAGATTGTGTACAACCTATTAAAAGGAGTGTTACCTCTCAGTTCGGTTCAGAAACGAAAACTAGCTGGAAAGAAACACATCTTAAGGAGACTAATTCAACCTCAATCTATTCAGAAAAGACGAGCTTTGTTAGTCCAGCAAAAAGGAGGCCTCTTCCCTCTTTTACTCGGTCCTTTACTAATAGGAGCAGCATCTCTCCTAGGGGGAAAATGAGTCGTAAAATGGTATTAGTTCCTGAAGTCTTATTGAATGAACTTAAAGGAAAATTACCGAAACCTCCTGAATTTCAAACTACTCTCAGTTTAGGTCAGGAATTAGAGGACATTACAAGACGTGAAGATTTAACCCCAGAAGAAAAAGTCGCTTTATATGGTCAAGAACTTCATCGCTATAGAAATTATTTAGAAAAAGCTAGACAGGAACCTATTTCTAAACCGAAAATTCCAGCAGCAGCAGCTCCAGCAGCAGGAGCAGCTCCAGCCCCAGCAGCAGCAGCAGCATCACCAGCAGCCCCAGGTGAGATTGAAGATGAAATTCTTGAAACCGTCAATAAAAACATGAAAAGAAAAGCTGGATTATTATTAAATCATTTAAAGAAAAACCCTAAAGTGTTAACTTGGAATGAAGAAGGTGAAATTAGTTATCGAGGTCAAAAAGTTGCCAATTCTAACATTGTGGATTTAATGGCTGATAGTATGAGATCTCAGTCTCGTAAAAATCATCCGGTTCCTACAGGATTAGAACAATTTGCTCAAGCTTTAAAAGAGACCCGTACTCCTCTGGAATACCTGAGTAATGGAAACCTTATAAAAGCCATGCAGAAACCTGGAAAAATCAGTACTCCTAAAAGTATCTTCAGTGATAGTGAGGACGAGGGCGATAGTGGATTTAAAGATGCTTCTTCATTTTTGACCCCTATTAGTAGACCTGTAGGAGATAGAGGAATAAAAAAATCCACTCCTAGACCTCTGTTAAATTTATCGAAGGCCATCAAAAAATCTAAATTAAGTCCAAGTTTACCTAAAAAGAGATTAGAAGAGATCGAGGAAAATTGGCTTCCTTTACCTATGAAGAAATGAAAAAGAAACAAGTGGAAGATATTTTAAAAGAGATTTATTATGATCCTAAAAGAGGGTACGGAGGAATACAAGCTTTGTATCGTCAGGTCAAACCTTCAGGAATTTCCCTGAAAAAGATTCGAGACTGGTTAAAAGAACAAGATACTTATACTTTACATAAACCCATTCAAAGAAAATTCCGCAGACAACAGACTAGAGTGACCGACATAGATGAACAATGGCAATTAGATTTAGCAGATGTGTCCGGTTTAAAGAAATATAATGATGGATATACTTTTTTATTGTGTGCCATTGACGTCTTATCTAAATATGCCTGGGTAGTGCCTTTAAAACAGAAAACGGGAAAAGAAATGATTTGAGGATTAGAAGAGATTTTTCAACAAGACGGACGACGTCCCATCCGCATTCAATCCGATCAAGGCAAAGAATTTACCAATAAAGAATTCTTACACACTTTTAAATCCATTCATTTTTTTACTACTCGTAATACGGACACTAAAGCCAGTATCGTGGAACGATTTCAAAGAACCCTCAAAGCACGCATGTGGCGTTATTTCACTCGTCATAAAACCAGACGATATGTAGACGTCTTACCGGATTTAGTATATGCTTACAATCATTCTTATCATCGAAGTATTAAAAGAGCACCAGCTCAAGTGAATGCTTCTAATGTATTAAAAGTCTGGAAAACTTTATATGGGGAAAAATCTCAAACATTCCCTAAAAAACCTCAATTTAAACAAGGAGATCGGGTCCGCATTAGTAAAGCTAAACGCATTTTTGAAAAAGGATATTTACCCAATTGGACTACAGAATTGTTTACCATTTCTAAAAGAGTACCTGGAAGATATCCTTATGTGTATAAAATCCAAGATGATCATGGTGAGGAATTAGAAGGCACTTTTTACGAAAAAGAATTACAACAGATTAATAAAAAAGATGATGTGTACGAAGTAGAAGAAATTTTGGGGTATAAAAAGCGACGTGTCGGGAAAAAAATCATTCAAGAAGTCAAAGTGCGGTGGAAAGGATATCCTCCTAGTTTCGATTCATGGATTCTCCAAACGGATCTCATTCAACAATTACATGATACTAATCGCAAATATTGGATGGTCTGTGTGAGTTCTTCCGTAGGATACATTATGCCTAGTCCTACCCTAATGCATCATACCCCTAAGAAGACCACAAATCCAGGGAGTCTAAAAATAGAGACACAATAGAGTATATATAAAAATAGACACAAATCCAGAGAGTCTAAAAATAGAAACACCCTAGAGTATATAAAATGGAACAAGTCCAAAAAAAATTGATCATTTCTGATTTCACTGAGACAGAGAGAGAGAGAGAGAGAGACAGAGCACACACAAAAAAATACAATGGAGTATTTAACCTCAGAGTATCGTTGGAAAATGAAAGGTTCTACTAAGAAAGGAGAATGGATGAAAAACAAACAAGAATGTATTCAAGATTTCAAAGATAAGAATCCAGGAAAACAAAAAGATGCCACCCTGTATAAGAGAATGAAGTTTCCAGACCATCCATGGGTAATTACACATAAGATGGCAATATTAGGGGGTCGAAAGGAACCTAAGTATCAGGAATTCAAATGGAAAGTGAAATATGTCTTGTTTCACAAACAAAAAGGACCAGAAAGGACTTGGATTCAAGGAAAATGGATGGAAAGAGCCAAAGAGTGTATCCAAGATTATCTAAAAGTGCTCTTAAAAGGATACAGTATCATGGACTGTGCTTGTGAAACAGAATATTTGTACATGAGAAGATCTTTTCCCATAGATGAAACAAAAGAAGTGTACAAAAGTTTTGAATGTTTATTAATATGATTGTTTTTGTTATGATTGTTGTTATTATGAATAAAAAAAAAACACACAAAAATTACAAGTCTTATTTTTTGATCTGTATCACATTTTTTTTAGTGTGATTAATGACGTCACAATGGACATACTTGAATCGATGCCAAGATTTGTGTATTACCTGTGTATTAATGACTCAGCAAAAAAAAAGTTTTTGCACACAGCACACTCATGTGGCCAGGTGTTTTCAGAATCAGATCTCGTGCTAAAAAATAAATATAGTAACAAAATTCTAAAAATAAAACACAGAAAAAGGGTATATAAAGCTTAGTTTTGAGTACACTGCGCTCAATCATGATTTTTTCTTGGAGACTGGCCTATTTGATTGACGTAGAAAAGTATTACTGTCATTACTGTGATAGGAAAATGAACCAATGGCGTACATTTACGGTGTATGATTATCCCGGATGGCATCACAGAACTTATCGAATTTGCGAGCATTGTGAAATGACTTTTCCTCACTGGTTTGTGAATGATCCCCCTTCTATGGAGACCTGTGGATGTAGCTGGTGCATTAAATATTTCACATGGAAGTTCGGGGTAGAGAATATGGTGCCCTTATGGGTCAAAGTGACCAGAAAAAGAGCTTTAAAGAAATGCCTGACCTGCTGGGAGGAAAATACGGAGGGGAGATGGAAGTGTCAACAATGTCGACAATATCCATGCTGTGAGAAATGTGTCGAGAAATTTGTCGTGACTTGCTACAGACTTTGTCCCTTATGTAGATATGAAGGAAATAAATCATAAAATGAAATGTGTATAAATTATTATTATTATAAATAGAAAGGTCAGAAGTGAATTTGTCTCAGTCTCTTACTGAACATGGCTGAGAATAGTGGTTTTTACATGACATTACCTAGTGATAGCTCCATGCAATCTTTTCCGGGGAATACGACCGCTCAATTTAAAACTTTATTACCACAATCTGTGGATTTAACGGATGGTCAATGGGAAGTAGCATTAACCGAAATGATTTATCCTTGAAGTATAGAAAATATAAGTCAGGATGAATCTTATATCGAAGTGTGTATAGTGGAAAAAGTTCCACCTTTTTTTAAAGGCGTTTCACCCTCAGAGAAACTGGATCTCGAGGACCCCGATAAGTACCAGTGGGGACGGTTTCAATTATTGAAAAGTACTCCCATTAATTTTCAACAAACCCAGCTTTTAGTAGATTGGAGTAAAGCTTATTGGTTAATCGGTACTTATGATCCTAAAGAGAAATTGAATTTGTATCGACTTCGATTTAGACCGGGACCTTATCCGAACCCAACAGCTATCCTGGCAGAAATCAATGAAGGTTTAGTACAGACCATGAAAAAAATCTGGAAAAAGTATCACAAATGGACCGAGAAAAAAAACCCCACAGATCAAGGAAGTGATGACGATGATGATGTGTATGGAAATTTAAAACAAAGCTTAAAGACAGTGATACAAGACCTGAAAGAAGAAGAAGAAAAACCCTCAAAAATTGAGATGAAATTTAATTATCGGAAGGATTTCAATCGAGTGAATTATGTCACTCATTTACGTCAAATTCCCATCTTTGTACGTCTTCCCTTAAGTCTGGCTTATAAATTAGGATTTCATGATTCTAAATTAGTCCCGGAAAATTGGACAGAAGACACGACCAAATGGATTAACATCAGTTATCTGGCTCCAGACACTGTAGATTTATATCGAAATTTAAAATCCATGTATGTGTATTGTGATCTGATTCAACCCCAGACCGTAGGATCGAATGCCTTGAAATTATTAAGAGTGGTCCCTTGTCAATTTGAACATAAAGACAATCAATGTAAATGGGAACCCATCCGTGCGGAATATCTCCCTTTGAGTAAAAAACATTTTGATACCATTGAGATACACATCATGACACCTTTAGGAAAACCCATGCCCTTTTTAAGTGGAAAAACTCTAGTCAAACTTCATTTTAGAAAAGTGTACTGAGATGAGTGTACAGCTTTTTTGTTACATCCTATTGGGAGTCATGATTTGTCTGATATGTTGTCTATATTGTATTCAGCCCTAAAAAGAAGGGGTATAAAAGGAAGTCCTCAGAGTGCAGAAAAGTCAGTTTTTAAGAAAACTGATCACCATGCAGTATCATCCAGGAATATTAAGACAGAGAGGACACGGTTGGACTTATCATAAAGGTTTATTAAGACAAAAAGGACACGGGTTTGGTCTTTTAGCTCCAGTGTTGAAATTAGCAGCTCCACTAGTCAGTAATCTATTAGGTGGAATATTAGGAGGGGGTCAACAGCAACCACCCCCACCCCCACCACCAGCTTATTATTATCCACCCCCAAAAAACCATCAAAGAGGGGAAGGATTTTTTACAGATTTACTGAAAACGGGAGCTAAACATGCCTTGACCGCTGCTGCTAGAACGGGGTTAGATGTGTTAGAAAATAAGAGATCTTTAAAAGACGCTATTAAAACTCACGGAATACAAGCCCTGAAAAATACGTCGGGAATGGTAAAACAAAAAATGAATCTAGGAGATAGTAAGAAAAGAAAAAGAAAACAGACAGAAAAAGTTCTGTTGGCTAGAGGAGGTCCTAAGAGAAAAAGAAAAAATCAAGGAGGTAATGTACCATTAACAGCCCCAGTGAAGAAGAAGAAAACACGGTCTTTAGATGTCTTTGACTGAGAGACTATAAATAGAGAGGTGTGAGGGAAAAGAGTTTCATTTGTGAAAAATCAATCTTGGTAGACAGACATCATGTTACAACCCGATTCCTGTGCTTGTGGGATGGACAATTTACAATTGTTCCAAGTCCCTCCCACTAATATTGCTTTAGAAGAATCCAAATGGGAAGAATATTATCCTATTTCTAGTACTTTAGATTCAGAGACAGCTCCGATCGAATTTGAAATTAAAGGACAAGGAGATCAATATCTAGATTTATCTCAAACTTATCTTCAAATGGTATGTCAATTTGTCCAAAATGATGGAAGTGATCTGGCTGGAGATCCTGCTAAAACAGCCCCAGTGAATAATATCTTACATTCCTTGTTTACGGAAATTGATGTCAATGTCAATGGAAAAATAATCACTCCAGGGACCGATACTTATCCTTACAAAGCTTATCTGGAGAAATTACTGTCTTACAAACCCAGAACTTTAGCCACACAAATGAAAGCCTGTAGTCTATGGGAAAAAGATACGGCAGGACATATGGACGAAAGAGGGCTAGCAGCTCTTGATGTGGCTGCTAATAAGACATTTAATGTTTCCAACGCTAATACTGTGACCATTAACAAACCCATCATTCCAGCATACCCAGCCAATTCTAAAAACGAAGGATACAGAAAACGTCATGAAGCCATAGATGCTAGTAAGAAAATTACTTTGTTGGATCGTTTACATCTGGATTTGTTTCAACAAGATCGATTTCTACCGAATGGAGTTGACGTCCGTTTGAGATTTAATCGAGCTAGACCTGATTTCTACATGATGACGGCTCAAGCCAATACGGGAAAAGTCAAAATATTAAGTATGGTCTTGTGGGTGAGAAAAGTGAAACCTTCCCCTACTTTAATGAATCAGATCAATCAAACTTTGAATACTTACAGAGCCAAATATCCATTAAGAAGAGTGGAAGTCAAAAGTTTTACCATACCTACAGGAACTCAATCTAAGATTACCGATCATCTGTTTCAAGGCCAGATGCCAAAAAGGGTCATTTTAGGGTTTGTGGAGAATGCGGCTTTTAATGGAGATAAAACTAAAAATCCCTTTAATTTTCAAAATTTTGGGATTAAAAAATTAGATGTTAGTATCAATGGAGAGACCATGATGACTCGTTGTTTCGAACCTAATTTTAATGAAGATTTATATCTGAGATCTTATCTGAGTATGTATCAAGCTTTGGGAAAATTAGGAGAAGATTGGGCTCCGGACATTACCTTAGAAGAGTATAAAAACGGATACACTTTATGGGGGTGGGATTTCACGAAAGATCAAGAAGCCCAATCGGATAAATTTCATCTCATAGAAACAGGAAATTTAAGAGTAGAAGTCCAATTTACGAACAATACGGCTACCACTTTAAATTGTGTGGTGTATGCAGAATTTGATAACCTCTTAGAAATCAACAAACAGAGAGAAGTGAGCATTGATTATCAATGGATACAGGACAGTTGAGAGAAGTGTTATCTAGAGAATTGAAGAGTTCGTTTGGTGGAGTGTATCCTTTAGATTTATTACCAGATCAATTAAAATTTGGAGAAAAAGCCATTGTAGTCAATACAGATCCTCAAGATCAACCTGGAGAACATTGGGTGTGTTTATATGTAAGCAGTCCAGTGGTAGAATATTTTGATTCTTATGGATTTCCTCC